TGGTGACCATCTGATGATCGTCGAAATTTATGTTGATGATATTATTTTCGGATCTACTAATCTAAGATTAACAGCTGAATTCTGAAAACTGATGGAAACTAAATTTGTGATGAGCTCAATGGGTCCTATTAAGTTTTTTCTTGGTTTAAATATTAGACAAATTTCGGAGGGTATTTTCATCAACCAGGAAGCCTACACGAAGTCCTTGCTTGTGAAATTCTGAATGATGGGAGATTCCAAGGTCAAAGTTCCCATGGTGTTTGGAACAAAGCTTACACCATCTTTGGACAAACTAGTAGCGGATATAACTATTTATCGACAAATGATTGGTTCTTTAATGTACCTAACAGCTAGTCATCCAGATATCATGTTTTCTATTAGCTATTGTGCCAGGTTTTAGGCGAATCCATGAGAACCACATATGATTGTTGTAAAAAACATCCTTCGATACTTAAAACGAACAACCTCTTTCTGAATATGGTATCCTTCCAACTCTGGATTCTTTGTTCAAACTTTCTCCGATACTGATCTTGGTGGTTGCGGTCTCAATCATAAAATCACTTCTGGTGGATGTTAGTTTCTAGATGGCAAACTTGTTAGTTGGTAATCAAAGAAGCAGACATGTGTATCCTTATCTATTGTAGAAGTTGAATACATTGTGGCTACATCATGCACTTCTCAAGTTGTATGCATTCAGAATCAACTTCAAGATTATGGGATAAATATGAAGAGGATTCCTCTCTACTTTGATTCTGAAAGTGCAATTCAGATTTGTCATAACCCAGTGCAACACTCAAAAATGAAACATATTGCATTGCGGTATCATTTCATTAAGGATCACGTAGAAGATGGAAATGTTGAAATACACATTGTAAGATCCTCTTATTAACTGGCATATATCTTTAGAAAAGCCTTACCTAAACCAACCTTTAATCGAATTCTACAAGGCTTAGAAATGATAGAAGTGGAATATGTACCGAAAATTGCATAGTAAAGAAAAACAAAGTTCTTATTCTGAACTGCTCCATGCCTTTGGAATGCCTCGTAATCTACTGTTCATTTTCCAAACTATTCTGAACCATTGGAACACCTCAGAATCCACTGTTCATCTAGTGATTCAGAATATCTTGTATCCTTTGTATATTAAGTCTCTTCCAACTAATTCCAAGCTTCAAAGTTGTTCGAAGACACCATTCATCTGTGTTTTTGAATTTTTATTTCTTTTTCAGAAAATCCCAAAACCATAAAAATACTTTCTTACTTTCTGTTTTTCATTTGTTATCAGAAAATTAAAAATACAAAAATATTTTCTTTATTATTTGTGTTTTATCTTTTTTCAGACAAATCCAAAAATACAAATATATTTTTCTTTATTATTTTTGTTTTATATTTTTCAGAAAATCAAAAACTACAAACATTATTTTATTTTATTTTTATTTTGTGTGCATCATTTTCAAAATGTGTTCTTGTCTTAGGTACACTTTTGTCATCTCAATTCATAACGATGGGGCAAGTATATAATTTTGAATCTCTATACTAGCTAAGGGTCCTTAGAAGCATGATGTTGCATTTTGACCCAAGCCTATGAGACTCTATGTTGACTCCTAAATGAAACTATCATTCCGATTGTTTCTTCCTAATCAGCCTAATTAATCATATAAGTCGTTGAGCTAGCTTACTCTTCTCTCAATGAGTTAAGAGTTGACTGCAATAACAGAGGTACACTTTTCTCTTCGGAACCATCTCTAATATATCTCCATCATTTTCGTATTCATAAACGTAACCCTTGATACTCTCAACAATTACCAATGAGGTTTATGGTTACACAACATCTGTGTTTATGATTTTACCATCGTTATAACCATGATTTGAGTGAAACCCAAAATCCAAAACCAATTTCTGAATTGATGATGGACAATGAATATGTTCTAGCAATTTTAACCACTGAATTGATGAGTAAACCTTTATGGTCTGTACCTTTCTCATTTGAAATCTAAATTTTATTTTTGCGTGATATTTATGAAAATTTCTCGACCCAAGACTTTTCTTCCCAAAAGATCCAACTTTTTTTTTGAGATTTCTATTCTATCTAGCCATTTAATTAATTCAAAGCATACTTGTTATTTTGGCTGATCAGATAAGTACTTCTTCCAGACTCATGGACTTACGTTGATTTTCGAAAATTGGTTGAAGCTGAAGTCACCCTCGAAGCCTACTCAAAAGATGCCTTTCACTATTTCTTAACAAATACATAATCGTAATTCAACGGGAAACCACACAAGCACTTTAGCATCTCTCATGACTTCAAAGGAAGATATCATCGCCCAGGATTCAACTATTTTTGTGTTGATTTTTAATTGACATCACATAATTCCACAGATATTATTTGCTTTATTTCTTTATCTTTGGCACACTCTTGCATGAAAATCCTTGCAATCTTTCCAAAGTCTGGTTTCAAACATCTGAATGATTACTTTCAATTCCAAGAATAGGATATGGTGCATTGGTTGTCACTCCGAATGATAGAAACTGAAACTACGGTTTTATTGGGGCATAAGGATTCAAATTAAGGTGGGTCCTTTTTCATAGCCTAACATCACGCATGTCAGTTACACGCCACCTGATAGATGTACAACTTTCATGATATCCCTGGCACCTTTTATGGGATATGGAAGCATCAACAAGCGTTTTTCTCTCCCTACTCATGACATATAAAAGGGTGAATTGATGATTGATTTTCTCTCACCACTTTCAAAATCTCTCAAGTTAATAACCCTCTTCTCACTTTGCACTGTTCATCGCCGTCTCCAATTGCTTACATGGCTGCATCATCTGAAACCTCATCTTTTGTTGAACAAACTGGTTCCTCGGTCATTTTGAACATCAAACTAAACCAGAATCTGTCTCTGGATCTCGATTCTTCAAAATACGTTCACTCACACAAACCGATGATCGAATAGTTGCGTTATTCTACACTGATTATGCCCTAAGTATGGTTGAGTGTGTAACCTTGGTTCATCTATCCAGGGCTTACTCCTCAGAAATCTACATCCAGAATGAAGGTGTGATTGCCTTTGAAGTCAATTCCAACAAAACCTCCATCTCCAAGGCCCGATTTTGCATGATGCTAGGGTTTACTTCTATAGAATGTCTCTTCGACCTGAATCGATTTCTTCATCAACGATTATCAAGATGTTCTTTCAAATGAGGTATCATGAAATTTTCACTCTACTATCAATGTTCATTAAGCCTAATCTTCCTCCTACTTGGAATGGGCTTTTCACTTTGTTATTTAAAAGATTTATGAACATGTCATTGGGTCTGATAGTGCCAACAAGCTATTTTTCACTATTATCTATGGTTTGTACGCAGGAATTAACCTTGATTACGGTTTGATTCTTTGGGCACAACTGGTTCAAAACACCCTCTCTACCACCAGGAATTTAAAGTTTTCTTGTACTCTATTCTGATTTGTTATCATCAAGCGTGCTATCACTAGCATAAACATTCAATTGACGGATAACTCTATAATGGCTACGATTCCAATCTCGCATACTTCTAACTTTATTGTGTCTGGCCCAACAAAGTTTAGCTTCATTGGATCAATCTAGGGGTCATGCTCGTAAGGGTGCCTCAAGCAAATGCTATTATCACAACATATCAGAAGCTACCTCCATCAGGTCCTCGTCCCATGACTGATGAAATGTGAACATCTCTTAATGAGGAAAACAAACCTAAATGTGGAGCAAAACGAAAGGCTAAGGCAGGTCCTTCCAAACATGTCGTAACTCCAAAGAATAAAGTTAAAAAGGTTGCTCGGAAACCAAAGTCTTCTTCTCCAATTGTCGAGGAGGATTCGGAATCCCATACTATTTCAGAAGTTTGGAGGAGTGAACCTTTTACAAATAAATAGAAGATACAATAGCTACTTCTGAACCATTCGTCTCGGAACCTGCTCCAACTAAATCAACTTTGAATATATCTTCTCATATTTCCACTTCCATTCCTTAAACATATGATTTTGTTACCTTGCCTACATGTCCACCTTCTCCGACTACCACTTACTCTCTAATCACAACCACTACACCAATCACCATTTCTCCATTACCCAAGATTTTTTTTGATGTTTCTCAACCAAAGTTATATGTTCCTTTATCTACTATGCTATATATGTATTCCACTGCAACCAACACTACCATCAGTACTCCAATGTCGAATGTCAATGTATCTGATATGGGGGCATTTGATTTCAGTACTTCTATTGGTCCAAACACCTCGAATGCTTCACCTTTAAGAAAGGATGATCCTAACGTCATGTTCGGAGATGACAAGGATGATTTACAAAACTTTGTCTTTAGTCCTTTTACAGTTCGTTAAGCCAGTGATGATGAGGAAGCTCCAATGACGAAAGGGCAATTCAAAGCCCCCAATGAAAAATTGGATTCTATACTGGAGTCTTCCAAATCTTCTTCAAGTTATGAATATCTGTTTTAGTATCATAAAGTTGTAATTGAGACGTTGACCAAGGAGCATGCTAAAAACATTGATGAATCTACAAAAGTTGTTGAGAATTTTGAGAAAACTATTCGAGAAACAACCAAAAAAGTAAAAAAAAAAAAAAAAAAAAAACTACTTACTGATGTTACGAAGTTCATGGGAGACTTTCACTCCTCTTCGGATCGAAATATTAAAGCTGGAAGCAAAGCTATCTCAGGTCTCGAAACCACCCTTCAACTTGAAAAAGATGTTATATCTAAAGTTCGTTCAGAACTCAAGGTTGATAGTGTCGAAATGAGTGCTTGAATATTTTCCAAGATTAACAAGCTACAAAAGGATCTAGCTAATAAAAATGATATAATGGACAAGTTGGTTGCAAAAACTGAAAAGGTCAAAGTTCTTCTCTTAAGCTTAACTATGCCGCTAAACATTTGGATGATCTGGAGTTTAAGAAGTCCGTTATCAAAAGTTGTGTTTTCGACATTAATTGGTATCTACATCATATGGTGGAAACTCGAGATTCCATCCTTACTGTTTCAGTTTTCCAACATCTGACTGAGAAGTTAAGGCCAGTTTTTACATTGTTAAACCGAGTCGAGGGTGTTCCAGAAGGTGATATTCTTCCAAACCCAAGAAGCCTCAACACGAGAATAAAGCAAGGATAGATCTGAAGGTTAATGAAGCTTTTGGATCTAAAGGAAAAGAAAAGATGATTGATGACTCTGAAGAAGTCCTTTCTGAAGGTGAAATGTTGGTTAGGAAGAAAAGAGACAAGGTGCTTGATGATCTTCAGTCTCTTCGTGAATAGTTAGAAGAAAAAGAGAAAGAAGTTGAGATTGCAAAGGTCACACTTGTGACTCAGAAATCATTATTTCCTCCGTGGACCCTAGAACTGATTCAAAAGGAAGCTATCGACGGACCGAATACTCATTGGTTGGAGGCAAATGTGTCTTTTGAACTTGTCAATTCTTTTGAGTCTCAGTTTGACTTCCCTCTTACTCCGAATGGATTCTTATTCTGTGGGTTGAAACATATTGAGAAGGCACCACTTTCGGATTACGACATCAATAACAAGCTCTTTGCATTTTATCTCCAACATGGTCAAACTCAGTACGAGATGTGGAGTTTAAGGAAGCTTGCAGTTGTGAAAGTTTATGCTCCCTTCCCATTTGAACACTTTACGAACATCAAATTTAAATGATTCAGAGGAGCAACTCGTACTGAATTTGACCTCACTCTTGTTGATCTTTCATTTATGAATCCAAACGACTGGATTTCTCTGTTTCTAATTCAGTCTATAGACGAAGCAAAGTATGAGCCGATTGTTTCTCACTTGAAGAAAATGATGATATGCTACATCCATGAAGTTGCAAAACATGATGTGGAAATAGTTGCAGTTTTAAAGAAAAGGTATGTCGTGGATCCAAAAGAAGAGACAAAATATTTTCAGAAGAGGAAACTAGGAAAGCTTAAGAAAGCTGACTGGAGCGTCATATATCAAAGAAGAAGTGGTGATAAAGTTCAAATGAATTTGTTCTTTCTTTTAGACAAACACTTATACCCTTCTTCTGCACTGAATCATATCATGGAATTAACTGTTGCGTGCAAACTAAATAGTGAAGGACATCTTAAATGCTTTAATGTATCTATTGATCAGGAATTCTTTGATAAGTTTGATGCCCAAGCTATTCAAGCTTGAGAAGAAGCAACATTGAAGAAAATCCTTTCTTTTTTTTGACACAAGGGACAGATTGTTGGATTATTTATTATGTTGTGTCCAATTTTATTATGTACGTATTTAGTCTTTATTAACAGATTGGGCATGTCCATCCGTCATTATGGTCCTAGGGTTAGACTATTTATAGTACATGCATGTATCGTTCTAGGGTTAATTAATTGTATTGCCCTACATTGATTTTACAGAAAAGTTCTCGTTGAAGTCTTCTAAAGCTTTGATAATATTAAGCATTCAGAACATCTTTGATCATTGTTCTTATTGTTTTGATTCACTTTACTGTTTCTGAATCTATCGATCATTAAATTATTGTCTCAACAAGCATTATATATATATATATATATATATATATATATATATATATATATATATATATATATATATAGCAAGCATGTTTGTAATCATTTTTTGACCCACTACCCCATACATATTTCATACAATGCCCTCATTGTATGCATAAAATAAATAAAAGCACATAAAAGCTAAAAGAGAAAAAAGGAACAAACTCCTATGAGTTAGTAATGGCGATATCGAATGATTGTTGAGGGTTGCTTCAAAATATGTGCTGGAATAATGTTTCGCTTGAATTTTTTGGAAACTGAAAATTGGATATGCTCATATCAGGACTTAGTGCGTGAAACGATGAGCAAAAACACAATATAGCAGTATAAAATGTAAGATCTGAGATTATTGTGAATGTGATGCGCTTACGTAACTCAGGAAATATGATCGCGTATAAATATATTATCATGTTGTGCATAGACAAGAGATGCAGCACGAAAACTGAACAGTGAAATATCTCGTGAATAAAAATCAACTCCAATAGTGTCAGCCAAACACTTGTCTCGTCTCTCACATATGTTCTTCTCTCTAGTAATGGCTTTTAATAAAACCTCAATCCCTCTCTCGTGTAGGTAAGTGACCCCACACTTATATTATGCAATGCCTCTCATGAAATTTATCTCGTGACGAAATCACACTCGGTCCTAATCGTTGAACTTACTTATGGCATCTTAAAGGTATAAATTATGTAAAGATCTAAAAAACTTCAAGAGCATCAACATGGAAAAAATTAAAACAAACCAAAATATATAATTTAAACTAGAAACACACAAAAATAAAAAGACTAAAACTACCACGTCTAAAAAAATAAAAATAAACATAAAAGGATAAACACATCACTAATATTCTTCCTCATCATGCTCCGTTATGTCATAGACTCTGAAAAGTTTGACATAGTACTCCCAATCCATTGGAGTTGCCCCTTAATCTTAGGTAACTAACCCCTAATCTCGGTGCTCATCCTACGGAGTTATCCTCTTAACTTGGTGACCGAACCTAATAAATATCACAAGTTAATATTGACCTCAGGTCCCTGTTGATCAAGACATTGCCTTTGGAGTCTCTGTGGTATAGGTTTGACATTTGGTACTGGCTCATCGACTAGCACATGTACTGGCTAAACGGGATCATCATCAGGAATCCTATATATCTCACTTGGCCCTTACTCAAGGACTCTTATCTTCACTAATGCTCCTGTATCAACCTTTTTTATTTCAAAAAGGAACCATCGCTTTAGTACTAATACCATACGAATTTGCTAAACTCATAACAAAATGTCCTCCATAAATAAGGCTACCCCGGGTGGATTTGGTGACTCTACACGATAAAAAACACTACCAGTGTATAGGAAGGTTAAGGTAAACCTCGGGACTCATAAGGCACCACATTTAAAACAAATATGTAGTTGACCCCTTGTCCCCCCTCGACTTTATGACAAATAGTAGTCGATTTAAATTTGTAAATTAAGCAAATGAAAGGTGATCTGAAGCTCCAATCCTTAGCATGCTTGGCCTTGTAAGGACCATTAACATATGCTCAAACATTTATCAATATGTACTCGTCTATATGTATGGTGCTACAACTACCTAAATAAGACTTAAAATACACAATTTCCACCTCCTATGTGGTATACATATCTAGTCTGACCGCCAACTCTATGATGTTGTAGATGAGACTAAATCATCAAATCCTAAAAGTGAACTTCGATTGATATGTCCAAGTCTGGCATGCACTGTGAAACTCAATGGTAGAGTTGAACTTCGAACAAAGCTCCTAGTAAACAATCTTGTTGATCTGAACGATATGCTCCTAGCCATGACAAGTAAATAGAGTGGTACCAAATGTGTCTATAAAAATACGTGTGAGATATGGTGCAAACTTTTTTGCTAATAGGTAATAAAAATCATCACTTTACCATGTTAGTGATGGGTTTTGAGCAAAAGAACATCCTATGTGCACATGCAAAACCCTAAAGCTTTGGATCTAGGTTTCTCTATTGTACATGCAAATTTATCCAAAGCTTGTAAGCCCTAATCTAGCATACAATAAAGTTAATTGAATATCAAATAAACAAGTTTGATGAATAATTTGATTGTTGATTGTAGATCTTGAAGCTTTGAGAACCTTAGCACCCTAAATGTTATGCCTCTAATGGCTTATAAACACCAAAGCAATTGGATGAAGCAAGAGAGAGAGAGGGGAGAGGGAAAATCGGCTCCAAGACTCCTAGGGTTCAAGTGTAGTCAAAATCTCATGCCCTAGGGGTCTTTATCTAGGGTGTCGAAATTAGGGTTTCAGTGGTTATCCTTATCTAGTTACTTAGCCACCAAGTAGCCCAATGATAATTCTAGAACCCCCTTGGGCGAATTCCTAAGGCCTTATCCTTAGAATTCGTCCACCCTATACTCTAGGGTTTCCTTACCTAACTTTGCAACTATCACATAGTTATAAGTTCAGTCCCCTTAATTTAACTAACCTCTTTTGACCACAAAATTAATTCTTAATTAATTCTTGACCAATGTTAATCAAACAATACGATTTCTCCTTTAATATATTATTCATATAATACATTAATAAACCATAATAACCTCTCTCTCTCTATTATTCAACCAATCAAGTTTCTTTGGTGAAGGCAACCCAAAAGGACCATGCACAACCGGCTCAAGTATATACCAAATATATTTATGGACATAGACACTAATCCAACAATCTCCCACTTAGATAAGTCTAATAACTATAAATTCAAGTACGACTTCAGGATCTAGTTAGCAATCGCAGTTCTCAAAACTCTTGATCTTATCAATAACCTGTGCTTTAGATAAGGGATCGTACAGTCCTCCATTCTCAAGATATCGTGTGGACAATTACATGGAACATAGTCATACTTATTGTCCAGTAGTTTATTTCTCGATCTCTGATTTATCTGACATAGAAATTAATTAAACACGTCAATTCAGTCCTAACCGGGCCCAGTACATAAGTCAAACCAAATCATCGAGGGGCCCAGATATCGCTTTTACCCTCATAGGATAAAAGGAACATATAAACTTCGACTTATATACATTTACCATTCACTCATCAAATCATGCACAACAATTCATTTTATAACATCAAGTTACTGATGTGTTTACGCATTATCAATGCACAACCAACTTGCAAACAATAAACCATATATCTAGGTTTCAAGACCATATGATATATCGTCTTGCGATCACTCGTGATAAATTACATGAAGTGATACCAGCAAGCGTGGGTTTAATCCAATGCTCAAATCATATTTCATAAGCATTCATGAAAGTTGTAGCAAACTTTTTCTATGTCTAATAGACATTTAGGTGCTGTTTGTTTTTTTGAAGTCAAAATGTCTGCAGTCTGCGGACCATATATGCAAGCCTCTGCGGCAGAAGAGGTGGACCAAATGTTTGCAGTCTGCAATAAGAAGACTGTTTGTTTTTAACGTCTGTGGGTTGTTAAAATAGATTGAATTTTTAAACTTAATTTCATGTCATAAACATTAAAAATCTATTTTTAACCAAAAAAAAAAGAAAAAAGAAAAAGAAACTGCACAGTGGCCCATGTTTTTTTTTTTTGGTTTCAATTAAAATGAGGTCTGAAGACCTTTGAAGACAGTGGCCCATGTCTGTGCCAGGAAGACCTCGTGCAGACGTTTTCTGATCTGCGCACTTCCAAAAAACAAACAATCTGCGCGTTGTCTGTGTGGCGCAGACAAAAGTGGTTGCGCAGATCTTCACACAAAAACAAACAGCCCCTTAGACAATCTACACGCCAATTCATGACAGTCTTCTTTCATACCTACTTCCAAAGTATAAGCAACTGTGGACTATTCGAATAATCTTATTATTCAGGAAGTCAAAACATGCAAAGTAAAACAATAGGTAAATAATTAACATAAGAAAGTAACCTTACTCATAAATAATTCTCATTTATTTAATCACCAAATGTTAATTACAATTTATCTATTACACGTTTCAAAACTATCTAATCTAAACTAATATCATCCTTCAGCCCAATGCTCCTAGCGTGCTACAAGTGCTTAACCCTACTCAGTCCCTTCACAAGGGATCTGTTTGGAGGGGTAAAATGTGTATAAGAATTAGTGTATTAATATATTAATCATTGTAGAAGGGTAATTTATATATTTCACTAACATTAAAACATTTCCATTAACCTAAGTATAGATATTATACCCCTGCAGACACAAAAGCATCTGAAAATGGAAAATTATAACATTTTCTTTATTTTATGATAATAACGAACAATTGAAAGATATACCCCTACTTTATCATAATCTCCATATGTTTAAAACATACATGGGACAAACTTACTGATCTAACACAACCACAAACATAAATCTGACCTACCACTTAGTCTTAAAACCCAATTTATACATAATATTCAAAGTACATTGGTTTTTTTATAACTTCAAATAAAAAATAGTTTCCAAGTTTCTACAATGAATATCAAGAGGTATACATTAACATTTTTAAAGTGAAAGTTTTAAATTAATACAAATGAAGTGATGAATAAGTAATAAATTTAATCTATACGGTTGAAAAGGTATTTGAACATTAATAATGACTTTTATATCCTTCAACACAATG